GTAAATAAAAATTTAAAAATCTTAAAAAAAAATAAATAAATAAGTTAATTAATTAATTAATTATAGAATATTTCCAAAGCACCAGAAATTTCCCTCAATGTCCTTTCTAGTTAAGTCTACACCCAGAGACAATCACTGTTCTTTCTTTCACCATGATTAGTTTTGTCTGGAACTTCATGTAAGTATAATCATATATAAATTTGGGGGTCAGCCACTTTCACTGAGCATATTGTTTTTGGGATTCATCCATATTATAAGTATAATGTACTAATATATTAATAGTTTGTTCCCTTTTATTGCTGAGTAGCATTCTTTTGTATGAAGATGCCACAATTTACCCATTCACATGTTGATTTAGTTTTGGAGTGTTTCCAGGTTAGGTCTATTTGAACATTCTTGTACAAGCTACAATGAGCATTCTTGTACAAATCTTTTTATGGACATATGTTTACCTAATTTGGGTAAAATTTGTGAATTTTACCTAAATTTTTTCTTTAGTGAAATTTAGGGTCAGAGTGGACTTTTCAATGGATGGTGTTGGAACGACTGGATAGCCAACTGGGGAAAGCTAATGTTGGATCCACCCCTCACACTGCACATGAAAATTAATTCAAGATAGATCATACTCTAAACATAAAAGCTAAAACTACAAAACTTTTAAATGAGCATCATGTTGGAGAATATCTTTGCAACCTTGGGTAGATAAAGATTTTTTTTTCTTTTTTTTTTTAAAGATTTTATTTATTTACTTGAGAGAGAGAGAATGAGAGATAGAGATTTAAGAAAGAGAGAGAATGAGGGCGCCTGGGTGGCTCAGTTGGTTAAGCGACTGCCTTCGGCTCAGGTCATGATCCTGGAGTCGCGGGATCGAGTCCCAGTTCGGCCTCCCTGCTCAGCAGGGAGCCTGCTTCTCCCTGTGACCCTCTTCCCTCTCATACTCTCTATCTCTCATTCTCTCTCTCAAATAAATAAATAAAATCTTTAAAAAAAAAAGAGAATGAGAGATAGCATGAGAGGGAAGAGGTTCAGAGGGAGAAGCAGGCTCCCTGCTGAGCAGGGAGGCCGATGTGGGACTCGATCCCGCGACTCCAGGATCATGACCTGAGCCGAAGGCAGTCGCTTAACCAACTGAGCCACCCAGGCGCCCTAGATAAAGATTTTTTTAGGACACAAAGCCCTAACAATAAAAGGGGGGAAAAAGATAGGCTAGACCTTATCAAAATTAGAATTTTCTGCTCCTCAAAAGATGATTAAATTTGCTTCGAAATAATGCATAACATCATGAGTTGATAACTCATAAAGCTGGGCAATAGCTACATATAGGTGCATCATTCTATTCGCTCTACTTTTATATGTTTAAAATTTTCCATAATAAATATGTTTTAAAGATTTTATTTATTTGACAGAGATCACAAGTAGGCAGACAGGTAGGAAGAGGGAGAGGGAGAAGCAGGCTCCTGCTGAGCTGGGAGCCTGATGCAATGTGGGGCTGGACCGCTGGGATCATGACCTGAGCCAAAGGCAGACGTTTAACCAACTGAGCCACCCAGGCGCCCCCATAATACAAATTTTTACAATGTGGCATTAAAAAAAAAAAAGACACAGCTAAGAAGATAAATAGGCAAGCCACAGACTGGGAAAAAATATTTGCAATGCATATATCTGACAAAGGATTTATATCTGGAATTTATAAGGTGTCCAAAAATTTGGTACAATTCTAAGCGGTAGGTCTGAAATAGCTTTAAAGTATTTAAAGCTCAAAATTGCTTGTGTGCTACACTTGTGAATAGGTCTATAGCAGCAGAACTTTCTGTGGTGGTGGAGATGTTCTGTATCTGCAGTGTCCAGTACATACCCATGTGGCTATTGAGCTCCGGAAATATGGCTAGTGAGACAGAGGAACCGACTCTTTAGTTTTGTCTTTAAATTTATTTACATGTTTTTTTTAAAGATTTTATTATTTATTTATTCATGAGACACAGAAAGAGAGAGAGAGAGAGGCAGAGGGAGAAGCAGGCTCCCAAGGAGCAGGGAGCCCGATGCAGGACTCCATCCCAGGACCCTGGGATCATGACCTGAGCCGAAGGCAGACGCTTAACCATCTGAGCCACCCAGGTGCCCCTAAATTTATTTACATTTAAATAACCACAAATTGGATGGCCCACGCCCAAGGAATAAAGTCTTGAAATCAGAAGACATAAATCAAAGAGTGTATGCTCCCGTATTTAGATAATTATAGGCAAATTGCCCACTAAGGAGATTGTATTGTCTGTTGCTGCATGATAAATGACAACAAACTTAGTGGCCTAAACAACACATGTTGATTATCTCGGTTTCTGTGGGTGAGGAGTGTGGGCACGGCGTGACTGGATCACCTCATACAAGGACAGGCAAATCTCCCTGCAATTTTCCTTAGGACCGTTATACAGTTGAATAACTTTTAAAACTATCTGCCACCGCCCACCTACCCCACTGCCTATTAGAGGCCCCAGATTTCTCCTCTGAACCTTGCCTAGGGCCAGGAACACAGGAGGCCCTCAGGGACTCTTTTTTGCCTGGATGAATGAGTCTACATTGGTAGTAAAAATCAAGTCTGCAAAGCCTTTGAGCAGGATCAATTCCCCACTCCAGGCTCACAGCAGATCTTAGATGATGTGGGCAGCCTGAGAGAGGCTGACCAAAGCTAAAGGAGAGGAAGAGACTGTTGTGGGAAATAGTTTCCTTAAGAACAATGAGAAAGGAAAGGTTCGTTTGTTTAACACATATCATTAGGTTGATTGTGGCTGAGTATTGAGTGTGGAGATGAGGCCTGGCAATGTATTTGCAAGCTGTGAAGGGATTATGGGGACATTCTCATTGGGAATGCCTAGAAAAAAACAGGAAGGGATAGAATATATCCAGGCTAGTCCAGCACTGATGGAGCGGGGAGGGAGGAGGGTGGCGTAGGCTAGTGTCTCTCAGAGTATGGCCCCTGGTGCAGCAGCATCAGCCTCACCTAGAATATTGTTCGAAATGCAAATCCTTGGCCGTACCCCCGCTGACCTGCTGCATCAGAAACTCGGGGGGTTGGCTCCTATAATTGGGTTTAAGAAACCTTCCAGGTGACTGAGACACAGGTACTCTTAAGTGCACAGGTGCCAAAGCCAGACTACATGTGTTCAAATCCTATCATTTTCCATTACCATTAAAAGTTAATTTAATCTCTTTGTGCTTTAATTTGCATAGCTGTAAAATGGGGATAATAGAGCCGAAGTCATGGATTGCAATGAAGATTTATTCACGTAAAATGCTTAGACCAATAAGCACAAAAAAGTTCACTATTAATATTTCAATCCTGTCCTTTTGACTCTGTAACTAAGTGTATAAGCTCCTGTAAGTTCATTTCAAGAGACCAAACTGGAGGCAGTCTATCTGAAGCCCGGGTCTGGGGCTCCCCTGCTCCCACCCCAGGGTCTGGCAGCCTCTACAAGGCTAACACAAAGTCTTATAAATACCTATGGCACACCTCTGCCCCTGCCAAGGCAACCCCATCCCTGGAGGGGAGACAGGGCATATTTGGCTGGGAAGAGATCAGATGCATGAGTGCTTGCCATAGGAACAGGAAAAAGAAACGATAAAGTGTACACCCCTTGAGCTGCTGAATATACATGCCAAGTTATTTAATGGTGAAAAGATGCCCACATGGAGAGCTAAATACAATCCTCCTGCATTCAATTAACCTGGTTAACAAACAGGATTTATTTATCCTGTGTAGACTCCATACTGTGAGGCCTCTGTGGCCTTTCAGGATGGAAGCTTAATCATTGATTTTCCTGGTCAAGAATACCTGGTTAGAATTGTTAGCAGAGGGGCGCCTGGGTGGTTCAGTTGGTTAAGTGACTGCCTTCGGCTCAGGTCATGATCCTGGAGTCCCAGGATCGAGTCCCGCATCGGGCTCCCTCTTCGGCAGGGAGTCTGCTTCTCCCTCTGATCTTCCTCTCTGTCATGCTCTCTACCATTCTCTCTCTCTCTCTCAATAAATAAATAAAAATCTTTAATAATAAAAAAAAAGAATTGTTAGCAGAGCCTGCCTTTTAACAAGATGTATCTTTTGTTAAATGGGCTGTCCACAAGAGCCAAATTTGGTGCAGTAGAAAGTGGAGAAAGTTGGCATTCCAAACATCTGGGCTCCAGGTCAGGGGGCCTTCTTGTGAGACTGAAGTTTAGACTACCTCAGGAAGCCTCAGCTTCCCCATCTCTACAGTGCGGTAGTTGGGACCCATGGCCAGGAGGCAAGTGAACACGGCACTAAGTATGGTGACTCACCCAGGGACACCAGCCTCCCACTTCTGCTTTCACTAGGCTGGCTTCTTTGTGGCCAAAAGCCGGTCTTCAACACCTCTAGTAATGGCTAATCTCCTTTTTCAGTGTCAAGAGTATCCGGCATGAATTAATAACGCTGTCTTGTTTCCATTGTATTTTTACAGTGCTCTTAGAAATAAGTGATTTTTTTTCCCTAATAAGTGATTATTTTCTGTTTGTAACTCAGGGAGTGATAGATCTCCCTTTAAAATTTGTTTAGCTAAAACGAAATTTTTTTTAATGAAATTTGTTTGCCTAAGTTTAAACAAAAGGCAACTCTATTGGGGATGAAATATTACATAATAGTAATGATTTAAATTGAGGAAACAGTGGCTGAAACACAAAGCCTGCTCCAATTCTGTAGGTGTCCGGATCTGACTTCCACATTTTCCAGATTTCCCTCGGCCTCACCCTCCCTCCCATCAGTCGGGGGCGGGGGGGGGAGGGAGAGAAGAGAGGGGGACAGGAGGCGTGGCCCACCCACAAGCCCCACACCATCCACGTGCCCTTTCCACAAGCCACGCCCTGAGTGCCCCTCACGGCCCCGGGTCCCGTCCTTGCCCCGCCCCGGCTGGCCTCAAGCCCCGCCCCGAGCGCGCGCGCTAGTCCGCTACCTCGGCCCCGCCCCCCCGGGCTCCTCCTCCTCGGCCGCCGTTGCGCTGCTCTGCGCGGCAGCAAGATGGCGGCGCAACAGCAGGACCGTGAGGGTGGTTCGCAGCTGGCTGGGCCCGCAGCGGAGGCCGACCCGTTGGGCCGTTTCACGTGTCCCGTGTGTTTAGAGGTGTACGAGAAGCCGGTTCAAGTGCCCTGCGGTCACGTGTAAGTGGCGAGCCGGGGTCTAGTCGGGGGGAAAGCTATTGGGAGGGGTGCGGCCCGGGCGGGGAGGGTCGGGGGCGGAAGCGCGAGGACCGGGCTAAAGGGCCCTCTTCCCGGGGCCCTCCGGGGCTCCTGAAGGCCGGTGGAAGTCGGTGGGGCGCTCTTCTCCGCCCTACTCACTTCCAAGTATCCCGCCGTCTGTTGAGTGCCTACTGTATTCCTGGCGGCCTGTCAGGCTCCTCACCCGGGATAGTGGAGTCGCACCCTGCTGCGGATTAGGTAGGGTCTCAAGTCGGCCCTTGGTGGGGCGCCTGGCTGGTTCATTCGGTAGACCATGTGACTCTTGATCCTGGGGTCGTCACTTTGAGCCCCACGTTGGGCGTAGAGTTTACTTAAAAAAATAAAGTCGGCCCCTGGACCCTGGACAGCCACTATCTTCCTTGAATAGTCTGCATTTCTCCTGAAGTATGGTACGTATGGCGTCATGTACCCAGCTCTACCAAGTAATTCGAATGTGCACTGAAGTTGGAAAAACGCTGAACTAACTAAAAGAACAAAAGGGAAGTCTTGATAATAAGATCTCACCAGTCTGCCATTAACTGTGAAAGGGGTTGGGAGTTGCAGATGGCGCTTGTTAGCATTCCTACTTGTGTACGTGGTTTGCTGCATTTTGTTTGAAATTAAGCCTCCAGGGCCTGCATGTTGCTAATACACTGGTTATGACGACTAAAGGAGATGTGTGTGAAAATGACCAGTACAGACCCTGGGCTGGGGTAGGTGCAATGTAAGTTGAGGTTGGAGGGATTTGAATCTAAGCCTTGCTTCATCAGGCGCACAGACACCTAAGTTGAAAGAACTGTAGAAAATGTGGCTACTTCTTGCTGCTGGGGGTTAGCTTTTCCTCAGGGGTCTCCCTCAGTGCTTCTCTTGGGCATCATCTTGGCATTGGTTTTAGGACACCTTTATGGAGAGTAGACACAACAGGCACGTGCTGGGCCTCACGGGTATTCTTACTCCTGTAGCAGTGCTGCGGGGGAAGAGGGTTGACAGCCATTTTGCAGGTGAGGAGACTGAGGCTCACATAGGGCAGACTCACCATTGTCTCTCTTCCCAGATGAACTGCAGGTGTCTCCTTGCCAGCCCAGAGAATAATTTGGCACCTGGCAAGGGCTCCCCAGCCACACTGACTGCTCTTTGCTTCTTCGGGTACTCTTAAGTTCTTTCTAGCTTTGGGCTGTTCCCACTTGCAGTTCAGTTAGCCTGGAGCTCTTCCTGCCCCATCTGCACCTCCCCTGACAGGTACCCCAAATTAACTTACCGCCCTTATCACCATCCCTATTTAAATTACTTCCCTGCTTCATTTCTGGCGCTTCCTTCTTCCTTGCAGAGAGCCAAACGTAGGGATCATGAGGGCAGTGACCATATTTGTGTTGCCCCTCTCTGTATCCCCAGGGCCCAGCACAGTATCTGAGCATCCATCTTCCAGTCTTATATTCAACCCACTGAAATATTTGTAGCCACCATATGCCAGATTCTTGGGCCACAGGAAGAAACAAGGTGATTCTGCCCTCAAAGTTTACAGTCCAATGAATTGATGATAAATTAGGCTAACAAGTGTTCAAACTATTGTGAAAATTCAGTGTGCAGTGGGAGGGTATTACAGGGATCAAACTGGTGTGTTTGGGAGCGATCAGGTAATGGATGGATGACCTAAGAAATTGGTGGTGGAGGCTAGATAGTGTTCTCATTGAGTTGTCTTTTCCTTGGATCAGCCCTCCTTACTACTTTACCTGATTTTGGGTTAATTCATTGGATTTCATTCACCGTTGATATTGATAAAGAGGCTTGACCCAGTCACAATTTACCAACTGAAGAGCAGCAAAAGTTGAGGTTTCCTTGAGCCAGGTGAACCTTTCCTAGGTCAGAGGTCAAGTACTGGGTTTCAAACCTTGGCTCTTTTCTGTACTCACCATACAAGTTCCACGTGTTCATCAGTTCAATGCTGATTGAAGACTGATGGATGCACCTCTGTGAGGGCAGCACAAGTCCCCCTTAGCTGTAGCCAAGTGCTTTTTTGCTCAGCCTAGTTAGTGGCAGATTTTTGCTTTTATGCTTGGAAACCAGCATCATTGTAGCTTTGGCTGGGTGGGGCATTGAGTTTTTATAAAACTTTATTTTAAGCCCTGAATGACTGTGTCCCTCCAATTTAGCGGAATATAGCTGGAGAAAGGCAGGTGGCTGGGAGCCCAAGAGAAGGGACTTTTTACATAGCACTGTAACAGAAAGAAAGGATGGAGCACTTAGAAGGCTGAACTAGATCAAGGCCTGTGAAATAGGAAAGGGAAACTGAAAGCAAGCCCAAGATACAGGGACTGTTTAAAAGCAGGCTTGCATGTTGGGCATGACTCGGGCACAAGGTGGCTCGTGAACATTTGGTCAATGAGCTGTGTCCTGGTGTGTGCTTGAAGCTGCTTTTATCTACCAGCGGGGCTTGGTTTCTCTGGGACCTTCTGCTCTCTTTGGTTCCTCTTGTGATCCGCCTTTGAGAAGAGTTACAACAAATGATGCCCACAGGCCCTCTACCTCTCCAGCCTAATCACTTAACCCTCTCCCAGTGGTCTACCCATCATGGTCCCAAAGGCCTCCCTTTCTGCTTTTGGGAAATCCCTTTGCACTTGGTATATCATCTCTTTGTGTTCAGTCTGTGTGGCTGTCTCCTTATAGTTTTAGGTCTTAGCTCAAATATTGCCTCCTTAAAGAAGCTCAGTATGATCCATCTTGGCTGATCTCTGCCTTGTTTTATTTCCTTCCTATACTTAATCACTATCAGAAATTAACATTTGTGTTTTTCTTCACTTTGGAATATAAGCATCATGAAGACAGGGATTTTGTTTACTTTCCACTATGCTCTCAGCGGTGAATCACTAGGCCCCCTCACTTTCTCTCAGCCTGGTCTATTTTGTGTGGCAGTTAACATCTAGCTTTATGACAAAGACGAAGAAAATCCTTAGAGACGGTAAAAATTTGTCACATGCACAGGTCAGCTTTGATTAATATATCCTGAGTTCTTCCTTGCAGGTTTTGTTATCTTGCCTTAAACCTGTCAGGTTGGGTATATAGCCAGGCTGTTTTCATGCCTTATTGTTCTTTCTCACTATGTACTATATCTCAGCATCACTCCCTACATAGGTTTCAGGATAGAAACTTGGCCTTCTTTGACTTTCCTTTTCCAAATTCAGTAAGTTCCCAAGTACTACTGACTCCACTCTGAATCATTTCCTGAGTTAATTCTCTGTGGCCTCAGGCCCTCAGAATTCCTTGCCTTAGCCGTCTGTTTGGTTTCTACTTCAAGGCTCCTGTCTTTCCTCACATTAAAAAAATAAAAAAATTAAAAAAAATTGAAAACCAACAACTCTGTTCATGATAACCTCAGCTATTTTTCTGAAACTCGGACTTGGCCTTGTTGATATCTTTAAACATCTGGGTTCCTACCGTTCATGAGGAAAGGTGTTAAACTTTTATTTCCTTAGGTGCCTCATGAATTTTTAAGTCTAAGTGCCTGGAGTATTCTTACATTCCTCTGCCAGCTGAGCTCTTTCTTTTAAGGCTCTTTCGTGAATGCTGTCTCTGAAGTCTTACCAGCCTTGTCCTTCTTGGGTCACAGCTGGGTGGTCTTATCTTTGTCTTCTCATAGAGCTTTATATTCACCGCTAAGGATAGCACCTCCTGTTTGTGGTCTGCTGAGGGTCTGCTACACGTATTCCATCCCGGTAATCTCAGAGGCAGCTACTACCGTCTCCATTTCACAGAGGAGAAGCTGAGGTTCAGGAAACCCCACCAAGATTCCTCAGTGGCAGGTGCTAAGGTTTGCAGATTATGCCACAACACCTTTCACCGTGTGTCATGACAGTTTGTGTGTGTTTCTGTTGGTGGACCTGTGTGTTCTTGGCAGGACACTCCCCCTACCCCCTTTCTGGCCTGGGAGGACTCAGTATTTGAATCAGGAACAGGGAACAATGTGTTTATAATCCATTATTCATTGATGTCTTTTTAAAAGTTTATCCATTTTTGTTGTCTTGTCTCCACGATGCATGACGCAGGTTCTCTGTATGTCTTGTTCTAGCTTTTGCTCTGCATGCCTGCAGGAATGTCTGAAGCCGAAGAAGCCTGTCTGTGGGGTGTGTCGCAGCGCTCTGGCACCTGGCGTCCGAGCCGCGGAGCTCGAGCGGCAGATTGAGAGCACAGAGACTTCTTGCCATGGCTGCCATAAAAATGTATGTGGAAGTAAAATGGAAGAGTCAGTGTGTCTTTCTCTGATGAGAGGGGGTAAAACGCAGAGCTGTTGCCACGTCGTTTCTCAAGTTAGAGCATGACTAGGTGACTAACAGCACGTGTGCATGCTAGTTATCTGTGGCAATGGCTGTGCCATTTCATTTTAGTGACTGGTTTTGCTTTTTTTTTTTAAGAGTTGGTTTAGTGTGTTATATATTGTAGCTTTGAAAACCATAGAAGTCAGTTACCCTGGTTTTTTCCCTATAAAAGAGCCACTTTTCCAAAGCACTATGCATAATTTCCATTAGAATATAATGATAGGATGCTATTTCTTAATTTTTTTTAACATAAAATGATATCAGCCTCTCAAAAAAGTTAACCTGCTGGCATGGGTTTGAGGGGAAATGTTATATAATCTATATCATAATGGATATCAAAAGTATTTGAACTTTTTAGTACTCATAGGGAGGAATCATGACATAAAGGTCATTATGAAATGATGTGATTATAAGAGCGATACCTAACATTTGAAATGCATCCATGCTCTTTTGTATAATCATGTTGGAATCAAGTGTATTTATTTCACCATCTATTATAATTATAAAGGAGAAATATTATTGTCTTACTTTCCAAGAGATAGACACAACCTTATAGGTTTTGAAATCAGAACTTTGTTAATTTTGGACTGTACAAACATACAAAATAATGTAAGTTTGTTCCCCACTCCAGAGATTACCTCTTTAAAAGTGATTTAATTTAGAAGGCTGCAAAACATTTTCTGCCCTTTGACAAACACAGATGTAAGGTTTTTATAAACACAGATATAGGAATTTTACAAAATAGAAGCATACTTTAATTCTAGAGATTTTGCTCATTTTGAGAATTTTTTTCACTTAATGACTTACGAAACAGCCTAACATGTCAGTTTCATTACTTTAACACATTAGTATCAGTGGCCATAGAATGGATATACCTTATCACCTTCCTTTCAGAGTGATTTAGCACTAGGGGTACAAAGTGATTATCATTCTGAATAGGGCTATTTCCCATCCCTTTTAATTGGGAGCTCTTTGGTTGGCGGCTTGAAGTCAAGTTCTTTAGCTGGAGGTAAGACAGAAAGGAACATTATGGTAAGCTGGAGCTCAAATAACGAAGCTTTCTTTTTTTTATTGTGGTTTCCTTTAATTTCGAAACTCAGGATATTGAAATGAAATCACCTGTTACTTTATCTTTATGCATGCATGATGGGTTTTTTTTTTTGTATACTTCTGATTTTTCTTCATTTTTAAAGATTAGTGATTGTTTTGTATTTCCGGGTGTCCTCTACCTCCAAAAATGTTTATCTTCCTTTTACCTCTCCTCTTCATTCTTTAAACTTTTTCTTTCCTTTTAGAACACCTGCGATGAAGCACTCTCCTCTAGGTTTTCTTTCTCTTTCCATCTTGCAAAGACTAGATTTTATAGGAGAAAAAGAACTCAGATTTCTGGTTTTTTAAAGATCATTTGTCACAATCTGGCATCCTGTACTTTAACTAGAATTACTGGTCTTATCTCTTTTACTTAAATGATTACTTTTTACTGCTGCACATAATGAAACGTGCTTCTTGGCTTGCTGTGAGGAGACTAGTTTAAATGCTATGTAGAAAACTTAAACCTTCCCTGGTTTGAAGTATGTGAGCAGAGAGCATAACTTGAATAAAAGCAAACCTCTAGAAGAGTTACTTTGAGTGGAAACAGATGTCCTGGGTTGGTCAGGTCAGACATCAGCCTTGGTATTAACAAAAACCCTGCAACAAACATGCTTTCAGCCCCGTCAGCATAGCCAGGAGTCTGGTGAGATTGTTTGCCAGGGTGATATAGATCTGGTTTTCATCTTGACCTTGCTTTGGGACTATGTCGGCCCTGACTAACTTATGGGCTCTGATTCTTCCTGTCCAAGTTCTTCCTATCCAAGATCCGGGCACACGTGGCTACCTGTTCCAAGTACCAGAATTACATCATGGAAGGTGTGAAGGCCACCACCAAGGATGCCTCCCTTCAACCAAGGTAAATGACTCAAAACACTCCCTCAGGCGGAGGTTATCTTTTGCTATGAAGACAGTGGACACTTTGCATGTTCAAGGGTTTAGTTGTAGGAGTTTGGGAAAATGGAGGTATAATTGTTAATCTGGCTACACCTGATGTCAGTTCTTGTTTTTGGGGTAGAGTGTGGAGGACTCTGTTGCTCACTTCAAGTAATAGCTCTGCTGTTAAGTTATTTTCAACAGTTGACCTGATTCTGAAGTGATTGTCAGAATCCCTGTCATAACACATTGAACTTTGCTCCTTTTTTGGAGGATACAGTGGTTGAAGTGTGGAAAAGTACTCACAGAGAGCTTTCTTCCTTTTTTCCTGCCTTTCATCTTCCAGGAATGTCCCAAACCGTTACACCTTTCCTTGCCCTTACTGTCCCGAGAAGAACTTTGATCAAGAAGGACTAGTGGAACACTGCAAGTTATTCCATAGCACGGATACCAAATCTGTGGTAAGAGGAACTAGGTTTTGTTGTTTTCCTTTTTATGAAAAAAAGTCAAACTTACAGAAAAATTAACAGGATTAGTACAGTGAGCTCCTTGTGTACCCTTTACCTAGATTCACAGTCTTATAACATTTTACCATATTTGCCTAATGATATGTACATCTTTTTTGCTAATCAGTAATAAGTTACAGATGATAGGACTTTTTGCTTCTACTCACTTCAGCATGTATCTCCTTAGAAGAATATTTTTTTACAAAATCACATTTTTTGTGTTTGTCACACTCAGGAAATGTAACATTGGCACAATTTAATATAGAGAATTCATGTTTAAATTTTAACAGTTGTAGGGGTGCCTGCCTGGCTCAGTTGGTAGAACATGTGACTCCTGATCTCAGGGTTGTGAGTTCAAGCCCCAAGTTGGCCAGAGAGATTACTTTAAAAAAAAAAAAAAAAAGGGGAATACCTTGAAATTTTAATAATTGTAATATCCTTCATAGCAATATCCTTCTGCCCCCAAATTCTGGATCTTTGTGTTACATGTAGTTGTCACAGCTCTAGTGCTCGGCTTTTCTTTGCCTTACATTACCTTGACATTTTTTTTTTTTTTTAAAGATTTTATTTATTTATTTGACAGAGACGGCGAGAGCAGGAACACAAGCAGAGGGGGAGTGGGAGAGGGAGAAGCAGGCTTCCCGCTGAGCAGGGAGCCCGATGTGGGACTCGATCCCAGGACCCTGGGATCATGACCTGAGCCGAAGGCAGACGCTTAACGACTGAGCCACCCAGGCGCCCTACCTTGACATTTTTAAAGAGGACAGACCAGTTGTTTTGTAAGATGTCCTTCAATTTGCATTTGTCTGATTCTTCATCATTCTGTAAGCAGTGTGTCCTCTGGGTGACACATCTGAGGTTATGTGATGTCTGTTGGCGCCGTCGTTGGTAATGTTAACTTGGATCCCTTGATGTCCACGAGGTTTGTCCCCTGTAGAGCTACCATTTTCCTTTTGAGAGTAGTTTATAGTTGTGGAGAAAGAGAATGTATATGAAATTATTAGGAAAGTGCTTATCAGTCTTGACATTTAAGTATCACAGAATGGCACGTAGTTTTGTTTAATGTTTGGATATGGTCCATGTCAGCAGTATCACCCTTTCCTTCCTCCCCCCCCCCCCCCCCCAATAAGCTGTATGCCCAGTGTGGGGCTTGAACTCACAACCCCGAGAACAGGAGTCACGCACTCCACGGGGAGCCTGGGTGGCTCAGTCGTTAAGCGTCTGCCTTCGGCTCAGGTCATGATCCCAGGGTGCTGGGATCGAGCCCCGCATCAGGCTCCCTGCTTGGTGGGGAGTCTGCTTCTCCCTCTCCCACTCCCCCTATTTGTATTCCCTCTCTCGCTGTGTCTCTCTCTGTAAATAAAATCTTAAAAAAAAAAAAAAAAAGTCACGCACTCCACTGACTGAGCCAGCCAGGTGCCCCCTTCCCTCTTAATGTCATTGACAGGCTAGGTCTTGATAGAACCTCCTCCATAGTTCTCTTTCAGTTTTCCCATCTCAGACTGCTCTCTTGAACTGTATACCTAGTTTTATGGGCACGCTTCAGCACCCTTGCCTTAAAAGGTGGTGCATGGACTTTAGTATTTGAATGAGCTTTTGTGAATAGGATTAGGTCTAGTGGCATTCTTTTTTTTTTGCAAATTTTAAGATACAGCCGGCCTGTTTGAGAATGCCTTAGATCTTCTCTTGACTTTATTGAACTCCTTAGCAAGTCCACATTCCGGTCAATACAGCCACTTTTACTCTGGGCTCCCCAAGCTCTTAACTGTTGTGCTGTGACAGATTTGACAGATAAATTCCCTCTTGTCCGCTTTTCCCAACTCCCCTCACTAGGGAACGTGGCCCGTGTGGCTCATTGTAAGTCATTTTCAGCCAGGCCCTGTTGCTGCTCGGCACTCCCTGGTGGCTATTCTGGGGACTCTATGCATTAAGTTCCTGGCATGACCCGTCCTTATCCTTTCCAGGTAACACTGAGTCCTGCTTTTAACTGAGTTCAGAGTATCACGTGTGAATTCCTTTCTTCACTCTTCCTCCTCCTGTCTCAGGAACCCTCTGATTTATCTCTGAGGTCGCAGACTGGCGGTCCATGGGATATGTGTGGCCTATACACATTTTAACTTCCCTTTTAACCTTTAAAAACCAGAAGATTTCTCAGTCTTGATAGTCTACATTTGAGAAACTGAAAGTTCTGGCAAGAGCCAACTGGCCTATGGGGCACCTGGGTGGCTCAGTCGTTAAGCGTCTGCCTCCGGCTCAGGTCATGGTCCCAGGGTCCTGGGATCAAGTCCCACATCCGGCTCCCTGCTCAGCAGGAAGCCTGCTTCTCCCTCTCCCACTCCCCCTGCTTGTGTTCCCTCTCTCGCTGTGTCTCTCTCTAGAGTTACTTTGAGTGGAAACAGATGTCCTGGGTTGGTCAGGTCAGACATCAGCCTTGGTATTAACAAAAACCCTGCAACAAACATGCTTTCAGCCCCGTCAGCATAGCCAGGAGTCTGGTGAGATTGTTTGCCAGGGTGATATAGATCTGGTTTTCATCTTGACCTTGCTTTGGGACTATGTCGGCCCTGACTAACTTATGGGCTCTGATTCTTCCTGTCCAAGTTCTTCCTATCCAAGATCCGGGCACACGTGGCTACCTGTTCCAAGTACCAGAATTACATCATGGAAGGTGTGAAGGCCACCACCAAGGATGCCTCCCTTCAACCAAGGTAAATGACTCAAAACACTCCCTCAGGCGGAGGTTATCTTTTGCTATGAAGACAGTGGACACTTTGCATGTTCAAGGGTTTAGTTGTAGGAGTTTGGGAAAATGGAGGTATAATTGTTAATCTGGCTACACCTGATGTCAGTTCTTGTTTTGGGGGTAGAGTGTGGAGGACTCTGTTGCTCACTTCAAGTAATAGCTCTGCTGTTAAGTTATTTTCAACAGTTGACCTGATTCTGAAGTGATTGTCAGAATCCCTGTCATAACACATTGAACTTTGCTCCTTTTTTGGAGGATACAGTGGTTGAAGTGTGGAAAAGTACTCACAGAGAGCTTTCTTCCTTTTTTCCTGCCTTTCATCTTCCAGGAATGTCCCAAACCGTTACACCTTTCCTTGCCCTTACTGTCCCGAGAAGAACTTTGATCAAGAAGGACTAGTGGAACACTGCAAGTTATTCCATAGCACGGATACCAAATCTGTGGTAAGAGGAACTAGGTTTTGTTGTTTTCCTTTTTATGAAAAAAAGTCAAACTTACAGAAAAATTAACAGGATTAGTACAGTGAGCTCCTTGTGTACCCTTTACCTAGATTCACAGTCTTATAACATTTTACCATATTTGCCTAATGATATGTACATCTTTTTTGCTAATCAGTAATAAGTTACAGATGATAGGACTTTTTGCTTCTACTCACTTCAGCATGTATCTCCTTAGAAGAATATTTTTTTACAAAATCACATTTTTTGTGTTTGTCACACTCAGGAAATGTAACATTGGCACAATTTAATATAGAGAATTCATGTTTAAATTTTAACAGTTGTAGGGGTGCCTGCCTGGCTCAGTTGGTAGAACATGTGACTCCTGATCTCAGGGTTGTGAGTTCAAGCCCCAAGTTGGCCAGAGAGATTACTTTAAAAAAAAAAAAAAA